ATGAGACAGTACTAAATTTTCGACTTTCCGAACATTTCCTTCCTTGTTGAAAGAGCCGAGCCAATTTTTTCACCATCGTGTATGAAGCGGCCACGGTAGCCGAGTGGTTCAAATTTTGGTACGATCAACATTCAAAAGTTATAGAAAAATAATTTAAATAAAAATTTAAGTTAAATTTTTTAATTGCTGTCGCCCCTGGGCAGAGAATGTCAACCCTTCAGGCTCCTCATAAAAAACCATCAGCCGTTCGGAGTCGGCTTAATATAAGCCCTACATTTATTTGGAAAAACATCAAGGCGCAAAACCACAAATTGGAGGAGGAGATCGGCCGAGAATCGGTTTAGCGGGTACAAAGCGCCAATATAAAGGGGAGGAGTCATGAAGAATCGTTGATATTTCTTTAAAAATTTCTTTTGGCGTACTTTCACAGCGCAATGCTTCAAATTTCGAGAATTTGCTGTTTCCGTTGACACAGTGTCTGCTTTTTCCAGGAACGAAATGTTAATGAACCCAATAAAAAAAATTGGTGTGTCAACTCTAACTTCCTTAGATCGGAAACTGATCAGCCGTTCTTCATATGTGTTAAATGTATAATGTATTAATGTGCTATAATTATTATATTGAATATATGACCCAGGCTGAAGATAACACTTAAGCCATTCTGAATCGGAATATTGCCTGATGACCAACATTTAATTAAACAAAAATAATACGCTTATTAATATTATGAAATAAATAAATATTCAGTAAATAAATCTATGCAAGACAATGACCCAGAAAATTAACTTCAGTGCAATCTATTTACACTAATTAAATATATGTACATGCAAGCACATGCTGATACTTCATACACTAATTTCTGTTGAATATTGACATAGCATGGGAAATGCTCCGTAAAACCGAAAAGCAAAACAAAAGGAAATATCATGCGAATTGTGCACATTTATTTGCATTACTGTAGTTAAGTTTCACACTTTGTTTTTATGCCTAGCATTTGTGTGAACACAATATTTAAACAAGAATAATGCATTTATGAGCACATACTCGACATATGATTTATTTAATGCTGTAAATTGTGCACTCGTGTGTAACGGTGCAATGGTGGTTATTATTTTTAGCATCTGAACCTTGGTACACTTTTTTAAGTAGCAAATAAGTTCATCATTTTAACAAGTTAAATTAATTCAGTGTGAACTCTGGCTATACAAAGGCGATGTTTAACTGAACAATTTTCATTACATATGTACGAAAACCTGCCATAAGTGATATGCTGAAATAAACAGTAACAAAATACGTATATGTAAATAAAAAGATATCTTTTATATACAGATTATATACATGGATTAAGTATTATGGTCCCATTCATTAAATAAAAATTTAACTTGGAGCTTACAAATTGATTCGGTCTGTTCTCAAAAGATGGCTACAATTGAGAGTTGTGCCCGATCTTGGCAGCGAGTACCTATTAGATCAAGTAAAAAGTTCGTTCGATTTTTATCTAAGAGATGGCGTTATTGTCCATAGTACTAGTGTTACATGCCGCATCATACGACGCTGAAAACGTGTTTATTCGCGCTAAAAGTTTGTCTTTGACAATTTTTCAATTGATGGACTCAGTACGTTGTGATCAAGGTGAAAGGGCAGCCAAAGCGGATGAAAAACTAAATTTAGTTTATGGGCTCGATACTGTAAGCGAACGTGTAGCACAAAAGTGGTTTGCTAGGTTCCGTTCCGGTAATTTCGATGTCAAAGATGTACCAGGTTTTGTTGTGCCTTTGGTGGGATTGGCAAGGAATCATCTACTACGAGCTGCTCCCTATAGCCAAACGCTCTATTCGGTTCTCTACTGCCAACTAATGGACCGCTTGGAGGCAGCACTCATCCAGAAGAGGCCATCTTTGAAAACAGAAGCCGAATTGTGTTCCATCAGGACAGCGCCAGGCCACACACGTCTTTGGTGGCGCTCCAGAAACTCCAGGAGCTCGGATGGGAGGTCCTAATGCGCCCACCTTATAGTCCGGACCTGACACCAGGTGATTAACATTTTTTTCTGTCCATGGCGGACACGCTTAATGGTAAGAAGTTGACCTCTAGAGAGGCCAGTGAAAATTGGCTCTCCGAGTTTTTTTTGCCAATATGGACGCAGCCTTCTAAGAGAGGGGTATATTGTATTTGGAATCACGTTGGCAACAAGTTTTCAACTTAAGTCGGACAAATGTAAACAAAGTTATCATATTTTGTGTGGATCAGCGTCTGTTTCTGACAATGAAATTATTGTTTTCCTCTTAGAAAACGTCTATATTTTTTGTTAAATTAACAGAATTTCCATGAAGATTTGATTTTTCATTTTAATTGAAAGAAAAGTGCAGCTGAAGCACATCGAATGCTCATGGCGCGTGGCTCACCAAGAAATTTCCTTTTGGTCAAATCGCTTTGGATTTATTCAAAATCAAGCAAATTGGAAGCGATTTTTCTCCATTTTCTCCAAACGTTATTGACTACAACTAATTAGGGTCGTGTCTGAGACCGAAAGACATGACATGCCCCTTCGGAGGCGGCTTAGAATAAACTTTAGGTCGCTGCATTCGCTGAAAAAATATTGAGACGCACACCACTTGTTGAACAGAGAACTTGGTCGAAAACGCCTCAGCTCGGCTCAAGGAACCATGAAAAAAATAGGGTCATACGTTCAATGTTAAATTTTTGCTTATAGGGGAGCAGGCGAAAGATTCTGCTAGTTATCGAAATCAGGGTTAGAAAGACGACCGTCACTTATATACGAGGTGTGATCAGAAAAACAAAGAGCAATAACCGTCTATGCCTGAGAGTTTTTAAATTATCGACACGGTCTCCGCTGGTGGAAGTAAAAGAAGAGCAAGATTACCACTGCGTTCGAGAAATCAGGTGAGGATAGACCTGGCTTCACGTCTCAAGAATTGAAAAAAAAACCTGCTTTGGAATGCATAATTAGAGTTAAAAAAAATTCTGGTATGGAATTCAATTATTGGCTTAAAAATTTGAACAAAATAAATAAAAAAGAGAAGAAAGAACTCTAATCTGAAAAATGAAAGAATGTACTCTGAAATAAAATCCAAAAATTGATGCTGACCATTTGAGTAAAAATGTATTTTTCTCTAAATTTAATCTTTACACTGGAAGGAGTTATATTTTGCAATTTATTTGGTTTGAGTTCTGGACTGAAAACTCGTAAAGCTCTGTTAATGATTTTCCAACAGTTTTTTTTTCTCATAATTTAGAGCCCTAAACACAGCCACTGCCATTCGGAAAGCCATGGTTTGTGTCCAGCTTCGACCAACAACCAAAATTTATTCAAAATTAATTTAAACAAAAAATTATCTTGAATTTTCTAATTGCAGAATGTCGAGCCCTCCGAGTGTAGTTCTGATATGAAATAAAAAGCTTATCATTAAAAATAAGCAGCCGTTCGGAGGCGGCTTTGTATAAACTGTAGGTCCCTCCATTTGTTAGAAAAAAATCAAGATGCACCCGACAAATTGGAGAAGGAACTTGGCCGAAAATTGATTAGCGATATATATACATATATACATATTATACATATGGCACATCTAGTGCACTGGTCTAAAAAAAGGTAATTTTTGGGAATTTTTTATTAAAACAAACAGTGAAATTTTTGAAGAAAAAAATTAAATATTTTTTAGTTATAGTCGATCTCTAACAACGCGAAAAAAAGGTCCGTCATTGCTGCAGTGATTCCGGCCTTCTCCGTGGATGAAATCTAAAAAAAAAAAACCCTACTAGATAATATTGTCTGTACAAGGACCTACGATCAAAACTCAAAAATTGACAATATGGCGGCGTTTTAAAAAAAAAATAGTTGAATTTTACCCAAAATTTTGGTCGTTTTTGGCCTGCTGAAATTCGATTTTTTGATCAGATCAAAAATCGATAGGTCATTGTACGGAGAACTATACGAGATGTGTCCAAAAAGTCTCGCTAATTTTGAATTTTCGCGGGTTACGTATAATCGTATTTCGATTTTTCGAGTAAATAAATAATTTTTGAAAAAACACAAAATTCGCGATATTTTTTGAACATGTAAAAAAAATTCGATAGTGATCGGATTATTTGTTTTTGAGTAATCACTGCAGCAAATTCGGAAAATGCTGTTTCGAGAAAAATGCGTTTGAAGCTAAAATGATCGTTTTCACTCGTAGCTAATGAGACTCTCAAGCTGCCGAGCGACTGCTCTTTAAATTGCTATAACTCGAAAACTATTTGAGATATAGAATTGAAATTTTAATATGCTATTTTTAAAGGAGTAATCTGCCGAAATATGAAAAAAGATCGATGTTTTATTTTTGAAATTTCACACTAGGTGTGTCCCTTAACTTACAAGTGAAGATTAATACTTAGATTTATATTTTTTTTATTACTTTTTCTCCGAGTTTATTTTCAAGTTACTGTACATTATAATACCCCATATTTTTGCATACATACATATTACGTGAACGGTCTCTGCTCTTCGCTCACACGAAGCAACAAGTGCAGCAAGAAGGTGGAATTCCCAAAAACAACAATGCAAACAAATATGAATAAAACTAACCGAGACTCTGAAACGTATTGTTAAAAACCTAAAACCAACTCACAGATTATATATGTACATATGTGTGGTATGCATTAATGCCAACACACATTGAGGAATTGTCGCTCAAGGCAACAAGGCTGAAGCTGCTTGTTGCATATTATTTTACATAACGAATTGAAGGCATTCAAAGTGCAAGCCAGCAAACCAAAATAACAAATACAAGAAGAAACACAAGAAGTAACACTAACAACAACAGCGGCTGAAAAAACTGCAATTCACTTGCAACCGACCGACCGACAATTGAAAATTAAAGAAAAACTGCATCTGCAATAGAGGTGTTAGTAGTAGTGGTTGTGGTGGTGATGGTGGTGATGGTGATGGTGATGTTATTGCTAACACCAACTCTGTGCACTCCTTGGCACGAATAGCGCCACTTTGCAGTGGAGCTGGTTAGTTGCAGGCGAGTGTCTGAGTTGGAGTGTGGCCAAAACGCGAAATCGCGCATCGAAACGAAAACGAGAACGAGAGTGAAAAGTGAAAATATTTTGTGCAAAATAAAAATTGCAACGTATTGTATATAACGGAAGTGAGAGTGTGTGTATGGAAATTTTTAATGCAATTAAAGTGCACGGAAGTGACTTCCAATCAAAGATATATTTGTTTGTTAGCAAAAAAACAACTCTTTCTGCAAAGTCAATAGTCGGTGAACCACTGCTGATTGTGATAAAAGTTACATAAAATGCATTAACACACTTATATAAACACACACACATATACACCCAACCGCGTGGAACTCACTCTTTTACAAATAGTATAGATCGCATAGAGTGGTTCGGGCTACCCAACTAACCTGCTAACCGAGTGCCCAACTCAATTGGCCAAGAGCTAATCCAAACAAAGTGTCTGCGCATGTTGAAAGCGTTGTACGCTCTTCTCCAAATAAATCAAAGCAGTCAATATGAAATGTCGTTGTGTCACTGACTTTATTGCCGTCGTGGTTGTTGTTGCAGCGGCTGGCGGTCTTATTGTTTTCGCTATCGCAATGCAAAATTCCAGTCGGCGCGTAGAGCGAAAGCTAGCGGCGCATGAAAATAATTTAACTAAAATTACAGAACGGTTAATGCTTATTGGTACAACAACAACAAAAGCAACGACAACAACCACAACAACAACAATGAAAACAAACTCAAAGTTGTCAACCGCAAGCTCCATATCGACTGATACCACCGAAGCAGGAAGTTTTGTGAATATAATACCAATAGAAGTCGCAAGTAAAAGAGCAAATGCAATAAATAAGCCAATAGCAATGGAGGCGTATATGGTCACCGAGGCGTATGAGCAACCTAGAATTAGTTCAACGAGTGTAATGAACCCAACAGCAGCTGTAGCAACAACAACTCCGGCAGCAAACGACGGCCTAGCTACAATACCGGCTTATATAACAGCTGATGCTAATGATGCTGATGTTGATGTGGTCGTTATACCGAATGCTTCAACGAGAATCATAACAAGACTTAGGACAAAGCCCGTGGCAAGAGCCATTGCAGCAGCGGCAGCGCGCGCGACAACGAATGCACTCGAGGTAATGTTGAAGAGTGGCTAATCGAATTGGTAAATGTGTAGTCAAGCACACGCTTTGTCGGCAATAGAAGTAAAATTAAATATAATATATATATATATATATATATATATATATATATATATATAAAGTTTAAGAGAAATCAAAAAATAAAGTATGTACGAAGAAAAAACTAAAAAATTTCGAATAAAAAAATAATTAAAAATACATTTAAAAATTATGAAACCCGTTAATAAAGATAAAAAAAATTAAGAGATAAATAAAAAAATTAATAAAATTAATTAAAAAATTTATATATAAAAAATAAATAAAATAACTAAAGAAAAACCAAAAACATATCGTGTGGAAATTTCTTTTAGCTTAACATTCTGCAGCCATTGGCAACTGTTGCTGCGATTGATACATGCATTCAAGTGGCGGCAGCCAGCCTAACAATCGCGCTCAGCTGGGAGTGCAGTTACTTTAGCGCATGAAGCCTTTTGTCACATGCATTAACAGTGTTGCAGAGTGGCTCTTTTGTTGTGTTGAAAATATTTTTGTTTATATACATACATATATACGATTACTTTTTTTTTAAAAAACAACGCGGAAATGTTAATTCGTGTCAATCAGTTTTCTTTTTGGCTTTTCAGTAGAAAAAAAAATATTTACAGTTAGTTGATGTTGTGCTAGACACATGCCATGTGTAAATTTCAGTTGCAACATTGTGTGGAAAATTTTCTTCGCAAAATATCGCATTTACAAAATTATTTATTAATTATTATTTACAGTTAAAAACTATTATTTAGTACCTTAATGCACATTTAATGTGAAATTTAATTGCAAATTTATTTGTAGTCATTCGTGTTTGTAGTGTTTTATAACTGATAATTATCATTTCTCGAAATCCCATGTATTCATTATAGAGGTGATCAGTGTTGGCTATTTCATTTTTGATTTTGAAACCCACTGAATTTCGATTTGAGAGTATTTAAGCATTTTCATTCATCAAATTTATTTGTGTTCAAAGATTGAATACATAAAAACCTAACGAAATATTGGATGAGTGCATAAGTTCGTGCCCGATTCCGCTGGATGCCGTTCGAATCGTTTGAGAGTGGCGCTCGTGAAAAAATATATACATATTATATATCGATGGAAAGGTGACAGTCCGAACTGTAAGTCAAGCATAAAATAACTTCATTTTGATTTGAGTTGCTTAGTGAAAAGACGCATGGAGGATGGACAACGAAAAAGATCATATGCGTCATATTATCTTATACGAATTCCGCAAAGGACCGGACAGTAGGCGCTGCAACTAAAGATATTCGCGAAGTTTATTTGGACCGTGCTCCAGCACTCCGCACAGTAAAGAAATGGTTCGCGAAATTTCGTTCTGGAGATTTTAACCTCGAAGATCAACCTCGCAGTGGACGGCCTTCTGAGCTTGATGACGATGTTCTAAGGACTTTAGTTGCGAATAACTCACGTATTTCGACGGAAGAGGTTGCCAGTGAATTGAACGTCAACAAATCAACTGCGTTTCGTCGTTTAAAAAAGGTTGGGTACACTTTGAAGCTCGATACATGGGTGCCACATCAGTTGAGTGAAAAAAACAAAGTGGACCGTATGTCAACAGCAATTTCTTTGCTTCGACGGATCAAAAACGAACCTTTTTTGGATCGGCTCGTGACTGGTGATGAAAAATGGATCCTGTACAACAATGTTCAACGCAAAAGAACATGGAAACAGGCACACGAAGGGGCGGAACCGATGTCGAAAGGTGGATTGCATCCGATGAAGGTACTGCTGTGCATTTGGTGGGATATCCGAGGCGTGATCTATTTTGAGCTCTTGCCAGCTGGAGAAACGATCACTGCCAACAAGTATTGTCAGCAATTGGTCGAATTGAAGAAAGCAATTGATGAAAAACGTCCGATTTTGGCCAATCGCAAAGGAGTTCTTTTCCATCATGACAACGCCAGGCCACATGTTGCAAAACCGACCCTGGCCAAACTGAAGGAGATGAATTGGGAAATCATGCCGCATCCCCCATATTCACCCGACATTGCACCTTCTGATTATCATTTGTTTCGATCGCTGCAGAACAATTTGAATGGAAAAAAATTTAAAAATGTGGAAGACGTCAAAAACCACCTTGACACCTTTTTCAACGAGAAACCGCGCGATTTCTATGAATCAGGCATCCGCAAATTGGTTGAACGTAGGGAGTGGATTTCCGAACATGATGGCGAATACATAATTGATTAATAAAAGCGCTTTCTTCAAAAAATTTCCATTTTAGTTTGTACTTGAAATCGGGCACGAACTTATGCACTCATCCAATACTACAGGCAGAGATGAAGAGCAAAAGAACTACTAGAGAGTTTATACAATTTGACCCTCTTACGCGGGTATTCAAGCACTGCTCTTTTTCTATTTCTTCCCCTTGCCTTTCTTTTGACTATTACTTTGGCTCAAATTTTGATATGACATATTTTTATACATACAAACAAACAATGCTGAGAGAGGACTTTACTTTTCAATTGCCTACTCAGTTCAAAGTAACACCTGTTGGAAAGAGTTATTCTGCGCTGTATTTTCAGGCTGGCATTATTGTTGGTGCTAATAGTGGTTCCAAGATAGACGAAGTTATTTATGACTTCAAAATTATGACTGTCAACAGTGACGTGGGAGCCAAGTCGCGAATGCGATGACTGTTTGTTTGATGACAGGAGATATTTCGTCTTGTCCTCGTTCACTACCAGACCCATTCGCTTCGCTTCTTTATCAAGCCTGGAGAAAGCAGAACTAACGGTGCGGTTGTTGAGGCCGATAATGTCAATATCATCGGCGTACATCACTACCTGTACACTCTTATAGAAGATTGTACCTTCCCTATTCAGCTCTGCAGCTCTTATTATTCTCTCCAGCATCATATTAAAGAAAGACAAAGAGTCACCCTGTCTGGAACCTCGTTTGCTATCGAACGGCTCGGAGAGGTCCTTCCCAGTTCTGACCACGCTTTTGGTGTTGTCTAGCGTTAGCTTACACAGCCGTAAAAGTTTTGCGAGGATACTAAATTCAGACATAGCGACGAATAGGTATCTCCTTTTCGTGCTGTCGAAGCTTTAAAATCGACGAAGAGGTGGTGGGTGTCGATCCTCTTTTCATGGGTCTTTTACAGGATTTGTCGCATGGGGTATATCTGGTCAATGGTTGACTTACCAGGTCTCAAGACACACTGATAAGGTCCAATCAGTTTGTTGACGGTGGGCTTTAGTCTTTCACACAATACGCTCGGAAACCGATATCAAGAAGGCTTATCCCACGGTAGTTGGCGCAGACTGTGGAATCGCCTTTTTTGTTGATTAGGCAGAGTACATTTAGTTTCCAATCGTCGGGCATGCTTTCATCCGACACTTTGCACCATGTCAGCTCTTCACCGCCATGTTTGAATATCTCTGCCTGTATGCTGGCAGCCCTAGCCGCTTTTTTGTTTTTTCAGCGGGCAATCGCTATTCGAACTTCTAGTTAAAATATGCAAAATGTCAATGCAAAAATTAAACTATACTTCCAGGTCAAAGATATTTCATTGAATCGCACACAAATATATTTATACAATGGAAATTACATATGCATAAATATCATTTTACAAAGACATTTCGTCTTCAATTTAGTTATACATATAACGGCAAAATTTAAATCAACACACCCACAACTTCACAGTAAGCGGAAAAAAACTTTAGTTGAATTTAAACAGTTAAATCTGGTGAGTACTGAAAGTCTCAAATTTATTTTTGCTCATAGGTATACAAATACAATTTTGAAATTGAACTAAAACACAAAGTAACTGGCCAGCCAAATACACACATACATACACATGCATACGAGTATACTAAAGTTGAACTTGAAATTTTTAATTGGTCAGCGGTAAAGCGTAAAGGCTATAAAATAGGCGCGAAGAGCAAGCGAAGAAGAATGGCACGCCATGCAAACTTAGTGTTTAAAGATTAAATATATTCAAATTTAAATAAGTGAGCATGCTTTGATAAGCAAGTATGTTACTAGCACAATATTTATGTTTACATACGTGTATGTACAGCGAGTATATTAAAGGCAGCTCACGAAATGGAGATGTTTATGCACGAGCACAACAGATCTCTGTGTCGAGAAAACGTAAAATTATCGAATCGGAAGGCCAGAAAAGTGTATGAAAAATTTTAAAATCATATACGTATATACATATGTATGTAAAGGGTGTTTTTTTTTTAGACATGTGGCTATCAAGAAGAAATAAAACGCATTTAATTTAATGTTTTCAAAGTGATTTTGGGTAAGTAATCGCCGTGGCTGGCCCGAATAAATTCCAGTCGATAAGCTAAGTTTTCAACCAATTTCTGCGACATTTGGGGTCTTACGTCAGCAATAACGCACTGAATACTCTCTTCCAAGGTCTCAATCGTCTCGGGCTTATATGCGTAAACAAGCGATTTCAAATAATCCCGAAAAAATAGTTCATAGATGTAAAATCTTACAATCTCATCACTAGTTTCCTTCAATTGGTATGCCATGAAGCGTTGTCGCGTTGGAACCAAAGCTCCTACACATCAGCATCCTCCAATTCAGGCATGAAAAAGTCAAATATTATGTCTCTACAGCGTTCCTCATTGACTAATATAAACCTTCTGCCTTCCCTCTGCCCAAAAAGCACATGACACAGTGAAATTTTAGGATGCAGGGTGACAATTTTGTTCATTAATGTACACATTCAACAAAAGTGAGCTTCATCGATTTAAGGCTGAACTCCTCCTCTAGTTTGTGGTCTGCATTTTGATGTTTTCTAACAACAGTTTATACTGATCCACCTAGGAACAGCTGTTAGATTTCTATGAAGAGCCTTAATATCATGTCAGAAATACAATCTCTGCCGAGCAACCGCTTCGGTCATAGAAGTACTCGAATCATGACCTTCCGAATGGCAGTCATTCAAAATAATCTAATTGGACCCCCTCTCCATTTGT